ATGAATAAGTTCTGATAATTTGGCTTGCCTCATTTTATTTGCTCGATAACCAAATACAAATAAAAGCGCATCTATAACATTTGATTTTCCCGAACCATTTGATCCGACAACAGCAGAAAATGACTTTTGATATTAAATTTTAATTATTAGAGTTTATCTCGTGACGCAGCAAAGCTCCAAGAAAACAAATATATATATTATACCTTGTGAAACGGACCTATTTCCTGTTTACCAAAGTACGACTTAAAATTATTTAATATCATTTTGCTGATAACAAACCGTTGTTTAACAGGAACCTCTTGCGTAATTCTGCTTAAGGAACTTAGAACAGACCCACTGTCAATAGAAACTCTTGTGTGAGAAACTGAAGTCATTATGAAATTATAATGGAAGAATGTTATTATAGAATAGAATTTAACGGTCTTCAAAAAGCTTATGTTAGACGCGTAACGAAAAACGTTGTAAAAGTCCGGAGTTTATAGTGATAGTAGTTACACAAATTATTCATGTCAGACAAATATATAAAAACGTCACGCGTGCGATCATAATCTGCCAGAAAATTTTTCACTCCACGTGACCTATAATTTTGGCCTAAATTAGCCGCCCGAAATTATCGAAATTATCAATCAAAAATAATGATTTACAATCACGATCAAACATTTGTCTTTAGCATATTAGCATATTGAGATATTTTTTCTTTTAATTGTTTCTTTTTCGTTGTTTTTTTTTCTTTGCTATTAAATTTTAAACACGCCTATCAAAACTCAAGAGGTATAGTAATTAAAAGAAAGAAAACTTATAATATGCTCATTATTAAAAGAAGTAAACTTAAAACAAAGAAAATAACATTTTTTTGTGTAATAGACTATTACCATATTCATTGTTACTTAAAAAAAGAAAACAAAATAATTGGTAAGTAATGTAATATGCTTATTATTTAAAAATTACTTTAAAAACCAAATTTAGTATATTTTGATTAAGTTGTTACACATTTTAAAAGCATTATTCTAATTTTTTTATATATTTTCTTAGATTATAATGATGAATTCAATGCCCCTTGTATTTAATGATAATATTAATAATATGCAACAGTTTTGCAGAGAATGCGAAAAAAATCTCCTTTAACTCATTTATTGCTATTAATGAAAAATCTTATCTTATATGCAATACTTGTCGCATCTAAAATAAGGCAGTTTATCAATGAAAATTAATTTCTAAACAGGAAAATGATGCAGATAATAATCAAATAGTAGTAGAGTTTTACAATTTTTATGACTTTTTTGCACATAATTATAATTTATTTGAATGTACAATCCATAATAAAGATGAACAAGAGAATAGCGAAAATTTAGAATTTAAAGTTTTATGTATTGTGAATGTTAATATTTTAAAAGGAAACCTTAAAGATTAAACTAACTGTATTATAAAAATAATTTCTGATATTGATGAATATACTTGAATGTAATGTATTGATATATATTTAATTAAAGTTGCCAATCAAGCTGATTAGAACTTCATTATAAGAATCTTCGTTATAATAGATTATTACTAATTTCATTACACAAATATAATTTTACTATAATATAATTTTTTCAAAAATATTTTTATGTTATTTTGTAAATTCTAGTCATTTTATTTTAATATGCAATCTATTAATCATTGTATGATAGTTTTATTAATTTACTTAAATTTTTTTTTAAAAAAAAAATTTATTTTTTTTAAAATAAAATAAAATAAAAATAAAATAAAAAATAAAATAAAATAAAAGAAAAGAAAAAATAAAAATAAAATGAAAAGAAAACTAAATAAGACAAAAAAATGAAATTAAGAAACTGAAATGAAATTATAAAACAAAATTAAGTGAATGAGACAAAATGAAAAAATGAAATTAAACAAATAAAAAAAAACTATAAAATGAAATTAGAAAATGAAACGAAATGAAAAAATGAAAAGAAACTATAAAATAAAACTTAGAAAAATAAAATTAAAAAAATAAAACGAAACAGAAAAATGAAATAAAATAAAAAAATGAAAAAGAAAAATGAAATTAAACGTATAATACGAAAAGAAAAAACAAATGATATAAAAAATGAAATTAAATGAACAATAAAAAAAAAACTAAAATTTTTATTGCCTTGCAAGCCTTGTAAGTATATCATAATTTTGCTGTCTATTCAGTTTTACCTTGTGTTTCGTATTTACCTTATGATAGGTAAATTATAATTTCTCTTATAAGTATGCCTCAATTCTAAAAAAGTAAATATATTTAATATAAATCTAAAAAATTATTTAAACGTTTTTAATTATTATATAGCCTATTCCAGAATTAAGTTCTGAAGAGATTGTATAATCTTTTCATAGTATAGGTCCATCTCCTCCTACCTCTTCACACTCTATTTTAACAATTACAAAAATTCTAAAAGATATTAATTATACTGTTAAGTTATATTTATCATTATATTGTTATTCATTTATTTACTTACATTATAATTCTGTACTAAATTCCTCTATTTCAACTCGCATTAGTGAGTTGAATATGCTGTATTAAATCTTTGATTGATTCATTAAGCTATATTCCTCCAGAATCCTATCTTATTGCCTCTGTATCTTACATGATACTTTTCATTTCTCCTCCTTCTTTCCTTAACTAATAAGTCAATTTCATTATCCTCTTAAATGATTTCTTATAATCATTTTTGTATTTATAAAAAAATATGATTTAATGGAGTAAATTAAAGTGATTTAAAGGTTAATTTAAATTTCAAAAGATGAAAAATTATACAATAGTAAAAAATACTTTCTTTTATAAATAAATTTATCTATTAATTTGATATCTTATAAAATTTTTTATTCATGATTGAAATAATACAATTTTAATTGAAATTCTAATTTGTATTAAAATAAAAAGTCAAAATAATAATATAAGCATTGTATTATAATTGTATATCATATTATTTATAAAAATTAGATTAATCCAAATATAACAAACAAAACTCATAATTGAAATAATACAAAAAGAACTCTTCACAATTAAAAATTCTGATTTGTATAAAAATAAAAAGTCAAAATAATAATACATCGTATTATTTATAAAAATTAGATCAATCCA